ATATATATAACTAATACATATTAGTTAAAGAACACCCTTTCTCGAAACAGCTGTACATTAAAGAATTCGCACCAAGAAGGCAAAAAACGGCATAAACGACAGCAAACACATTAAAAGCAAAACTGCTAAACGTCTTTTTATTGAAAATACGACAAATGCATTTCGCAAGCTAAGACTCATGACTTTTCAGAGAGAAACTAAAATCTTAGAGGAAAGACGTTTGTTTTTTACTGATTTACAGCTACTTTCCTACTTTCTGCAACAGCAAAAGCTGTAGTAGGGGTAACCCTTAGGAAAGCGATTGATATCAGCAGGAGAGCCTGAAACTTCACTCCCTCCGTTAGCTGCTTGATTACAGCGATAATTGTAGAAAGCCCCAATCATTTCACCGGCCTTAGTGGCTTTTCCTGTTTTTCCATGAATGGACACCTCTGCATCACAATTTTTAAACAAAGTCCGGCCACAGATCTGAGTGCAGGTGTTCTTGTCAGCCGTGTTTCGTACGAGAACAACATTTTCACAGCAGCCACTTCCTCCTGAGCTTGTGCTACCCCTGCAGGCAGCGGCAGCCGCCATATGTAGAGCCTGCCACCCCAAGTCGTACATTGAGTACTTGTCGTAACCAGCCGCGAGGAGATTCTGAGGCAGATGGCCGGTGCTGTCGAGTAAGGCGAAGCTGTTGGGTTTTCCCGCCTTCTGGAGTAAACCTTTCAGTTTGTCGACCTAGCAGATTTCAGAGAAGCAACGGATTTTAATTGAAACAAAAGGTGAATAAGACGTCAACAAATACTCTCATATCATCTATAAGTTTAATTTCCTGCCTTACTGCTTAAAAAACATAAACTACTCCAAGCCAGTTTTTTGTTTTGTTTTGTTTTTTGTTTATTTGTTTGTTTGTTTTTTTTTTTGCTTTCTACCATAATTTCAGCATCTGTTGGAACGAACTTGGCCTCCATGCGCATCTCCCTACAACAAATTTTGATGAAAACAGGATCAAAAGTTTATCCAAAAAATTCTAAGAAGTCGCTACGAAAGCTAGTATGATTGTCAGATTTAACTGAAACGTATTTTTTTAAGTCGAACTTGTTACTTGAGGATTGAAGAGAAAGTAATGAGCATATTTATCGATCGATTTCCAACTGAGTAACGCAATTCGTCCATTACCTTCTAGATTCCCATATATTTGGAAGGTTAGCGCTGCTTTCACTGTCGTCAACTCAACTTAAAGAAATTTACGTTTATTATTAGTGAGAACTAACCTCGTCTTCCAAAGCTTTCAATCTGTCGTTATTGCCTGTAAAAAATACGTTTATAAGAGACGTTAAAGATATCTTTATAAAACACCTTCACGAATCTTCTTCTCACTTTTCACAATCTTCAGGTTCTCGACGAGGTACTTTGAAAATAAGTTGTATGACATCTATTTTGTTTTGTTGGTTTGTATGTTTGCTTTGTGTTAAAGGTACATCAGTGAGAAACGCACTAGTCTAAGTTTTGAACTACTTACGTACCTGGTAACCTCGTCCATAGCTTGGTTTATCGATCTTTCTAAGACCTAAGCTTACCTGAATTTCCATCTCCCTTAAGTTTGCTTCCAGAAAGACAAGCAATGGCTTCAGTCTTAAAAAGTCGAAGATATAAAATTAGCGCAGCAAAGCAAGTCTTAATTTATGGTTTATTTGAAAAAATCTTTATCGTCACATTGAGCTATGGACAGGTGTAAAAGATACAAACATTTCAGTGTCATTTAGCAGGATGCTCTTTTTTATGGTGGCACACAGAAAATTAAACATGGTATTCAAATACATCGGGCAAAAATTAACTACTTGTCTGTTCATAATAGATAGACAAGAATTGATACACT